AAAAAAATCACCATTTTTGGCCTTTACATGAAAAAATCAGCTAAATGGCTATGTTTTTTCTTTATTTTTATTTATTTATTTATAATAATATTTATTATTTATTTACAGTAATATCTATTTTTTCTCTTAAGAAATTTATTTAGTCAGAACATATGTAAATGAAAAAATTAATTTAAGTGAGTTATAGAAAAGAAACTAAAAAAAATTATTGTTTGAAGTCTTTTTGACTTTCAAGTCTGGGCAATTTCGCACGGCTCTCTAATGTCGTCGCCATAACAGCCTCTACATTTTCCGGTATAACCCGTTTGGAAACGCTAGCTAGCAATTGAACATGTCGTTCCGTTCCTTGTATGTGTGATGGAATTTTTGGATCATTAAACGGTGGATCATCTTGATTTAAATATTCTTTCAATGTATCGAAATGATTGTATGGGGAACCCCCCAGGGGAGTTCCAGGGGGTGTGCCACTGGCATGGGTGGATCGGCCGTCCAAAGTTAGTGGGGGTCGGTCATACATTTGGACTCGATTGGAGCACTCTAAATGGGTCAAAGTGGGATTTTTCAAAATTTGCCCCTACCCAAAAGTTCGACCCAAATTGGGGGACATCAGAATTCGTTTTAGAGGTATGGTTCCTTCGGCAAAGTTTCTTATTTTGATCCCTAGAATACGATTTTCACAGAGCAATGAGCGATTTTTAAATCGACCCGCCCTAATACACAAGTACCATGAACATAAGAATTTTTCGACAATTTGTGATGTTTCACATTTTTACATGTTAGGATGCATTTCAGAATAAAATAAATCCTCAAAATTTTGGAAAATATAAAAATTTCTAGTCTCAATAATTTTATACATTTCAAAATATTCTCATTTACCAAAATTTCTAGAATTTCTCGGATTTCGATAGTTTTTGAAATTTTCGAAATTATCCCACCAATAAGAAATCTCAAGAAATTTAATAACTTCAAAAAGTTCAAAATTTTGGAATTTTTGGTGTTTTCTAAACTGCGAAAATATTCAAACTGGTTGTGACTTTCAACTATGCAAAATAGTAGAAATACGAAAATACAACAAAAAAAGTAAAAATTGAAAATTAAGTAATTTGGAAATTTTGAAAATGCAGTGAATTTGAAGAACTGGGCATGAATCACGTATGACGACAATCGTCTGAACGATATCGTGTCGAGATTGTGTTGCCTCATGAAAACCAAAAATTGTTTGATCATTTGTGCGATATCGTCAAATCGATTCCAGTTTTGCTTCATGTAAGAGTAATAGTAACACGTAACAGCAACACAAATGCATAAATCAGTGTTTTTACGAGGTCATTTTGTCAGTATCGTTTGAACGACTATCGTTTCAAAGTTACGTGATTCATGCCCTGACAAGCATTTTTCACCAGTGTGTTAAAATTATATGATAAAAATATAAATTTTCAGAAAAATAAAATTGCGCAATTTTGTAAGTGCTCACGATGTTGCAGGAAAATCGCACTCACGTGTGTTCAGGTCGGCTTAATTCTTTTTTTTCTACAAAAATGTATAATATCGTTTTAAAACTGGTACTCGTTCCAAAAACTCGCAATAAAAACATGTGTTCGGTGTGTGCAGACGTGCTTTTAATTCGCTCTGTTATTTTATTATCTTTTCTTTCGTAATGGAAAACTTTTGCGGAAATTGTACTAAAGCCTTTTCTAGATCTAGATTCATCGTGTTTGCTGCAAAGACGTTTCTGAATATGATTTAAATTTGGTCAAAACTAAACGTAACCTATTATATCTTTGTGATGAGTGTGTTGTCATGCCAGAGAAACTCGTTAAGGCTCTGGATGCAGTTCTGGTAACTCAAAAGCTTAGTATTGATCTTATTTCAAACAGTTTTGATGCTAAATTCAAAGATTTATCGAAACAATTTGATGCAATAAAAGATCTAATAATCTCCTTGCATTCGACCAACAACAACTCGAGTGCAAATAACCTTAACGCTGTGAATGCTGATATGATGGCTGCGGAATTCAATGCCAGAAAAACTGCTGCTAATTTTTCTTACAACAATAACTACTGTTTTATTTTTAATATTTTTAATGAGCTTTGTACCACGATTGTTTATTAGGAAAAATTGAAAAAGCAACAAAGTCTAAGCGGTAGAAGTTATAGCAGCTATTTCGGAGATCACCACATCTCTTCATCAGACTTCTTTTTTCTAGACTTCAGCAGGGATCGAACCTGCGTAATCGATGTTCAAAGCCAGAAGCGTTAGCGTAATCTCTTGTTGCTAATTCATTTTCCTTATTAAACCAACTACTGTTGTTGTTGTTGTAGCGGCTACAACAACCCCGCCCAGATCGGCTGATATCTCAGTCGTTGTCGTCGAGTTCCACTAACAGCAGCCCCAAGAAGCGTGCAGCCTCTATGGGGTCGGTCCATAGGGACGACGCCGTTAGGGTTGTGGGGTTTTCCTGGCATGCGAAGAGATTTTTCGAGTCGTGAGGGGTCTCTCCGCATGCCGGACATTCGTTCGGCACATCCGCATTTAACCTACTCAGGTAGGAATTTAGCCTGCTGCAGTAGCCAGAGCGAAGTTGGGCTATTGTTGTCCCGGTCTCCCGACAAGATGGGGCTCCGTCGCGTCAATGTCCGGTGTTTGTGTGCCTAGAACGGCATTCACAGGTCTTGAGTCTACATAACTCGAGACTGCGTCCCTGTGAATGCAGTTCAG